ACAAACAACTATATGGTACGCACACATAACATCGTACGTGGAGCTCTTGTGCGCCCATGAAGGACATTAGGAACAACGACACTGCGGTGGCAAATGTGTAACAAAAGCAAACTTACACTGATTTCCCACGCCGATAAACCTTATCACTTTGCAATTTTTGTTTGTACTCAATGTTTTTCTTGTGCCTCATACGCTGCCATGAATTCGCTGCAACATATGCACGCCCATGTATGTGTGTTGCACACACCCATACACACACACACGAATGTGTGAGCTTTAATGTGCGCTATCAGTGCGTCTTTTCAAACTTATTGAAGTGTAACTAAAGTGCCTGCTTCGTAGTCGAAAATGACTTCGAAGAAGTGCAAAGACGCGCATGCATGTATGTGTGTGAATGCGGCGCTGCCAATATTTCAGTGTGCTAGTTTCTCAACTACGCACATACTTACAATCTAGAACGTTATGTTTATAAATTTGCCTTTTTGTTAGTGTTCAACATTGCACAGATACTCTACAGAATAGCCTCTTCTTACCCCTTGCTGCACTTGCCACATTTTGGCTTGCTTTCGTTTTGGCTGCATATTTTTTTCACTCATTAGKAACACAATTGCTTTCATTATCATTTCTGTTAGTTGTTGTTCTTCTTTTCATTTAACACACACATTTTTGTTTTTTATTGAATTTTGCTTTTTCGTTGTTCTTTTCCATTTGCTCAGTCGGCTCAAGTCAAAGTTTTGCGAAAGTTTGCCACTTTATGTTTGCTTTTATTTGCATTGTCTTTRGCCTTTTTGTGCCACAAACTTTCCGTGAGTATTCGATAATTTTTGTACTTTTGTTTAAAGGCAACTCGAAATTTACTAAATATGTCGACATACATGTACAGCGAAATATTCACAATATTCGCAAACGGTGGCGTTGAATAGCTGCAGAACTGTTTTYGAAAAATAATATTCACCAAAACTAAGCATTTTCTTCATCAAAGATTTAAAGATTTATAGGGGTAGTTCGAAAAGTTTATTAAAAGTAGATGAAATCAAAAAAATATTCTAGCTAAATGGAAGGGTAATTATTTAAGTTTTTTTTCCAAATAAACGGTAAGAAAATATTCTCATTTACTCATTTTTATAATCTTTGTAAGAAACTTAGTTAAATTCTCGCAGCTTCATTGAAGTATTTACGAAAAGAGTGAGTTCGAATTTTGTTAATGGTACAAAACTGAGAGAACGCTTTCCAGAATAACGGTTTAAGAGCGTATATCATATGTAGTTTCTTCGATTAATATAAAAACAAATTTACCCACTATCGTGAGAGGTTGGRTGGCGGTTTCAGCTATAATTCTGGAGAGAAAAAAAGAGTGAATACTGTTTTTTGCTTCCATTAAAACAGTTTGTCTCAATTCAATGGTCAAACATTTCATTCCGTGGAAAATATAGCACCATGTTTCAGTTAGAATATTTTCCTGCATTAGGAGCAGTTATACGAAAGCCATGAAATCTAGTTKTTTTTAATAAACTAGAAACTTTTTTGGATTAAAAACTTTGGAAAAAATACTGAACATGATCAATTAGTACCCTCTTAGACTTGCTTCGTCTCATTTTTGCTTCACTCATTCCTTTTAAAAGTTTTAATTACACGATACGAGCCAATAAATCATCTGATGCCGTCAGCAGCCGTGATTTATTATTAATTGACTAAAACACCTTGCGATTGTATATCCATAAATTTTTTTTTTTTTAGTACATAAATATATAGTAGATATGTATACGCATGTGCCTGTCTCTTATACACATCTAGATGTGTATAAGAGACAGATGTATACGCATGTGCTGTTTGAGACCACAACTTGAGTTATTCTAATATGAATGGCAACAGAAAAAGAAACGGGAGCTAAAAAGTTAATTAAAACAGCGGTTTGATGCAAATCTGCCAGATAAGATTATTAATTATAGATGAAAAATTGTATTTGTGTTTTAAAATAAGGCAACTGGRGTAGCAGGGTGAGCCGAAAAGCGAATCGAGCCGCGAAACAATTATAAATCAAACCACAACCAACGATTGAAATAACCTTTTATTTTCTAACTCATTTGTCACAAGCAAATTGTATTTCTTTTAATAAATCCTTATGAAGTCATTTACTTATTTAAGTGGCCTTTGAACCACCCCTTATGTCAAGATGCTCCCTCCACTCTTACTGAAAWGAGCTGTTACATTTCGAGCAACACTCTCAATTGAGACCGGCCACTCCCTTCATAACAGTTTCACGTTCCACTGCTTACCTGCACTTCGATGTCAGCTATTCCTTCTGCTTCTGCTGGTCTATTATTTATTTAGATATTTTAAATGAATTTCATTAAGGTGTGCGCGTGCAAGGGCGTTTTTTTCTAATAAAGGTGACGCCGTGTCATTTTTTGGATATTCTTTTAATTTATTTACGCAACGCGACCCTCCTCTGGCATTTTCATTCGCTCATCTCAGTTCATCCAGTGTTTTTCGATTTTTAGTATATGTATATATATATATAAGTATATGTATATATGTATTGCTTATTTGTTATTATGCGGCAGCAAATAGTATAAAATATGCAAAGGACACACCCGGAATTTTTCTGGTTTTGACTGTCACCGCAAATTGCGGTCAAATTTAATTAGAATTTTAATTTATTGGTACTAGATAAAATTTAAAAAATAAATTAAAGCGGCAGGGTAAATACTAATTTATTTATCTAGGAAGGAAAACGTTTTACAAGAAAAATTATTTAAGGAATGCAGGGCAGTTTGATGAGTTGTGCGCTTTTCGCGCTTATTTCATTGAGAATTGTTATTGATCTTCACTTCAGTCGAAGCTTGCTGAACGGTGCAGAAGGATAATCAGATTAGCGATTAAAAGTAATCATATCTAGCGCTACTTCTTTAAAATTCAATTTAATTACAAATTCTAGTGTGCTTAACAGCCACATTAAAAGTAAATAAAAGCCTTAATTGAAAGGCAAGAGAATTTGCTCATATGATGTGAACCAAATTCGACACGWTTTATGCCCYTAAAATTGTTATTTGATAAAAATRTGAAATCGGATTTCAATCACGCCCACCTCACAAATAAAACAAATTTACATTCCAAATAACAYATCAACGAAACCTCTTCTCAACCGCCCGGCCCTCAACAAGTAAGAAAAAAKCCTTATTTGGGAAATATAAAATCTAATCGAGACATCGAAGATACCAAAGCATATCTCAAAATTAAATAGTGAGCCAGATTTAGGCAAACAAAATTAAAAAAATCGATGAAGCGGCTATTCATAAATACTTCGAATTCAGAAAATAGTAAAAATTAATTGCAAAGGGTCAAATGAAACGAGCTTTAGATAGAGTACATTCTTTTACTGTCTTAAATTATTATACTTAACTTGCTTCACTTGGAATTCATTATTGTATAAACTAACTCGAATGTGGAAAAATGAAAAATGAGACGTCATTTTAAATATGCCAATTGCGTTGATTTTCCTATTCCTGGCAGCAAAATGAACTAGAAAATTTCTATACAAACGGACAAACATAACAGTATTGAAGAGTTAGCTGAATATGCGCCAAAAAAAAAGGGACGAGCAATAAGCGAAAGTAGAACAGAGCAGCAGCGAGAAATATATTGACAAAAAATGGTTGATGTAAATAGTCCAGGGCACGAAGAGTTTATAAAGGATGACCGATGAAAATATGCTGCTATTAATGAGGTTATCAAAAATGGTTGGCGGGCTTAAGTTAAATGATGTGGCTGACGGTTAAGTTGATCCTCACTGCAAATTAAACTAAAACCAAAGTAAAAGTACTACTGTCTTTCGTAAGTGTTAAAAAAATGTGAAGAGTGGAAGGATTCATAATATGCGATAGAAATTGCCACTCATATAAGTGACGGCCGAGGTAATGGGTCGCTGRATTTGTAATCTAGACTAGAGTGTCATGATGAAATCGCACAGCTGTTGCAAAAGGTCCCTCACACTACTCAGTTGAGACTTAAAGCATTCGCAGGACTGGATGCAATGTGCAAATCTGAAAGTTGTGCATCAAGTGTTTTGAGGCAAAGAAGAATATCAGAAACGATTTTTCCGTCAACATATGTAGTCATCCCCTTTCCAAATTTTCAAATAAACGTGGAATTTGACGGTTCGATTTGTTTAGGAATTCTAGAAAATAAAAGTTTTAAGTCACAAATAATTAATTTTGACGGCTTTTACATTCTACTTTAATTTTATTTTGGTATAAAAGACAACCTATATTGAGACTGCGGTCTCAAATTTAATAAAAAAGCAGAAAAAAGTTGATCTAAAAAGAAATAGATAGGTTTATTCCAACTATTTTCTATGCGCAGACATCCAACTAAAAGCCAAAAAGATTAAAGCACAAATGAGGTGGAGAAAGTTTGAAGTGCCCAAGGTCCGCAGGTCATATGAAGGGGAAAAATATTACAAACATTTCAATAAGTGAGCCTTTCCGACTCTGCTTTTATTTGATTCTCCTTTTCATTGCGATTGTTATTTTATCTACTGAAAACTTTTTTTGGCTTGAGATGCCCACTTTTATACRTAACCCTGAGTAAGTGGCAAAACAGCTCACTACACAATTTTCTACCCCCCTTACTGCACACACTTATAAATAATACACCCATTTCTTTCACGCCTTTTTATTAATGTGTAAAATAAGCAAATACTTTGCATTGCTGCGGCGGGCCGAATCCTTTTTTGCGCTCATAACTCCAGTTGCCATTTTGACCGCCGCCAGTTGGTAGCCGACAGCTGCCAATTTCGACAAACGGACAATGTTATTTCGTTAAACAGTCCCTTGAGAAAYTCACACAAATCGATGCGGAATTTCACAAATTTAACTAATCCCATAAACGCACACAAACATGTGCATAGTTGTGTTGTCCCAATAGCCAAGTGGGTTCATTAGAAAGCAGTTACACTRTATATATGTAAGAAAGTCTGAACRTATTTGCACAGCACTCACCTTGTATGGGCACGTAAATATTCAAATATAGGCAATCTTCCGATTGATTTTGCAGATACGGCAATAGACGCTTCAAATACTCCAGCCGTCCTTTGGGCATACGCTCTAAAGCGGCTGTCTCGTTGGCGATGTCGGGTAGGCGTTGCGGACAAACCGGACTAAATCTATATGTCAGAATGAAAAGAAAGGAAAAATAGTTGACATCATTGTATATCTATTATATTTAATAGCACAGTATGTAAGTATGTGGGTAAGAAAAAGGGGTAGATTGCTTCCAAAGCACAGGATACAAATGTAAGAATGAAGATTGTTTTAAGATATTATTTTATTTTTTGATAACTGTGTTTGATATAAAGAAAGCTTTTATATAGAACTTTATAAAAAAAGAATGTTTTTGTTATTTAGTTTTTAGATAAATTATCTGGTATTATGTTAGTGTGTAACACTAGCTTTCAAATGGTTTAGAACAAGAGTTCTCTCAGAGCTCGACAAAACATTAAATGACCACAGCGTAGCTACTGMAAATGTGTTAGCCTAAGAAACTAATATTGAACCATATTTTTACAAAATTAACAAAACAAGAAAATCAAATCAAAATCAAAATCAAATGAAAACAATATACACCCCTTGACATTGGATCGTATCTTATATTCAAAGCAATTTTAGCTTCTTTGTGCGTACTAGAACCAGTTGGCAATATATATATGTACTTTGATTTTGTTTTCAATTTAAACGGAAAATTTTAAAACTTTTCTTTTGCACTTTCTTCGCAATTTCCCGAAAGGCCATTATTTCCATAAAAATGCCGCCATTTCACTTTTAACTTTGCATTTAATGTCATTACATAATTTTCAATGGCGCTTGACACGCGTAATCTTTTCTGTAAGCAAACAAATAATAAGTTCTAAATAAAAAGAAGATGAAGAGAGAAAAGAATTGCAAGCTTGTCAGAAAGACAATAACGCGGGACGGTTCATTGCACTATAAGTGTGAAGACAAGCAGGCTTCTTTCTTACCACGTTAAAGTTTAATCAACTTATTCCATTTTCTTAGAAATTTGCATTCAATTTTATTTTGCTGAGGGACCAGACGTAACACTTTGTGACTTAGTTTGAAATTTGGTACTCAGTTTTATAAATATTTTGCTGTTAGAGACTTTAAACTGAACATGTTCAGTATACAAGTATCAAAAACTCTTCTAAAATTAAAAATACTTAAAATCGTGAAAAGCTTGAAGATTTTCAGAAACAAATAATTAAGACCTCCTTGTAAAAAGAAACCAATTTTTTTTTAATTACAGAGACAAGTTAAATAAGAGAGACTGTWAGGGACAAAAGATCATGTTAAGATAGAATTGGTTTGCATCTGTCGTATTGATTCCATCGAAATGATTGGAGATAATATATTTTATAATGATCTCTCAAAACTAGAAGCAGCCCATATCTTACAACCTTAGTTATACCTTCCTGTAGGCAGGAATTGAGTTTTCCATAAGGAACTTCTTATCCTTACTTACTTATCCCTTCCTATAATCAAGAATTATGTTTGTCATAAAGCACTTTCCAACTGAGTGCTCAACAAATTATTTTACTCTTAATTGAACAATAAGAGTAAATTTCATCTTGATAGTATACTATTGACTATACATAATCGAGCAAAAGAAATCTCAGTGAATGAAAAAATGAAGTAGAAACGAAAATTGTGACAATTTCTTTTGGAGTCACCATCTTTTATTCTTCTATAATGTCTGAATGTTTTTCAAAACAGTTTAATAGCCAGTAAGTGTGAGAAAAATTTTTTTAGTAATATTTTGTCCTTAAAATATTCTCATTCTCGAATGAAATAGCAATTTTCTTTAATCGTTTGAGAAGTAGAATAACATTTGACTAATGCTAGGTAGTGTTCTGAAATTCCTGCTAGCTACTTTTCCAGTATGTTCACCTTGTCATTTATGTTGCCTTTCCGCATAGCCTATGTTACATTAAACCCTTAAATTATTCAAAGCATATAACATTATTTAGAATAAACAATTTCATCTGACTCGATGTAATTTTAATAAAATAGCGAACTCTTAAGGGCGGTCTATGAAATTACACTCTAATAAAATCCAAAGTAGCTCACGCTTTGCCAGTTAATGAGTTTATGTGCTCGTCACACCAGTTAAGTGCCGACACCCGCAACAACAGCAACAAGCATAACGAGTAACCGCGATTCACATAGCAACAAAAATTTCTTGCAAAACAAACAACGTAAAACGTACACATTAAAGTTAAAGTCAAGAACTCAGCAAGATAGAACCTAAGTGCCGGTGCCGGTTGATGGCAACGCTGTTTCAGCGAAAATGAAATGAAAAATTTTCCAACATTAAAATCTTAATTTCACTTTTTTTACAGCATCTACGGTGAGCGCTTTGCGCTATGCCACAGAGTGGCTGACAGTGTAGGAGGAAGTGGCAGCACTCACTTTGCAAACGCCATTATTAAAAAGGCACACAAAGCATCGCAACAGCTAAGAGCAAAGTATATGTATGCATATGTATGTGTATATGTATATATCAACAATAAAGTAAAGAAACAAATGTTAAACCACTTTAAGGCACTAGCGGAGGCGACATCGCTTGTGAATTTGATTGGTGGAGAGGTACAGAGATGCTTAGATAACATGCGGAGCGTGCTGAAGCACAGATCGGATGAGCTGTGAAGAGTAATAAAACTTAATCTTTAATCACAAAGATTTCTGGGACTCTGAACTCCGTAATTAAAGAAATTTGTGGTAATTTAAAAGCATAGGTCCCAGTTAGGAGCTTGCCGACAGGAGAGCAACTCTTAGTAGGTATTATTCTGTCTATCACACCAAATACATAGCTAAGCGTTCCTGAACGTCAGTCCTGACTTGGCAACCGAATGAGCTGCATATTAATGTGTTCTTGTACAATGGCCCCCTCCTTGGCTATCGAGATATGACATGATTTATATTTGTTGGTGTCCACTTTTAACGCTTATTTAAACAATGGTGTGTCAACCAACAAAAAACTATCTGAAAGCTGCTGGAAGTACAAAATCTGATTTACCTAACGTCGTATAGCGTAAACTTAAACTTATACCAGCTTTTGCTGTAAAACCACTTATTGGAAATATCATGGAGCTTTTTTCCCTACAGATTATGAATGCGTATAACCTTTAACGAAACAGAAATGCATACAGAGCTATACGTGAGAAAAATGTGTGGGAAAAATTATAATACTTCGTGCGCTTGACTTAAGTGGTAGCTAAGGCATTCAAATGTCTCAGCGCACAAATTCGTTCAACGCCACACAGTCTCCGTAATCTCYCATTTTAAGTCAGTCTGCTTGGCAACTACAAAGGTGGTAGAGGCACCACCATTGTCTAGGTCGTATCGTATATTTATATATGTTTAGTGCCGACAGTAACATAATCCCCAAATGAGTATCATAGCGAGTCTTATGAAAGTGTGTATGTGTGTATATATACACACCTTTCAAGTTTGCCACACTTATTTTGTAATTGAGATGCCTAATGCTGCGTATAATCCAGATCAGAGATAGGAGGATACTTGGAAGYAGCCTAATGGGGAAGCAAGATTAAGTATGAAAAGCTTTTTATTTATAACGCTATTAGTTCCACTGTCACTGCCAATTTTACTAGGAATGTTGGCTGTGAAGGAACTTGAGTGAACAGTTCTGACATTTATATGGTATACACGTCAATCTGGAGCTATGTAGCTTTGCAATGCATAGAAAAGCTCACATGTGTCTTTAACAGAAACAAATTGGTTTAGKTAGCAGATAAGAACAGCATTACTGTCATATGAAAAACTTGCCTTTTTACCTAAAATCTAAGAGGATGGGCTAACTTCGGGTTAAATTGAAGATATGATTTCTAATACCTTRGCCTACGGGTTACAAAGTGCAGCAAGAAGCAGGAAACATGAACTTGCAAAGTGCCTTTTCATTATATAATGACGGCATGACACTAACTTGAAAAGTAAAASACCTTGCAACACGTGTCTCTATTGCCTTTGCATCTTTGACGCTTTTGGAACTGTGTAAGTATTGACGAAACGTAAAAACAAAAAACAAAAAAAATATTGGAATGATATTGAATGCTTATATATGCTACCAAGTTATTCTTTGTTCTCTGAGTCAGTAATTATGACTACTAAACTTTCTATGTTGGAACCTTATTCTAAGTAAATAAGTTTCGAATTTTTATTAAAAAGTTAAGTTCAGAAGATTCGCAGTATTTTCTTTAATTCACAAAAGCAGARTCCACATCATTTATACATTATATTATATACATTTCTTCTCTAACATTTTCATTTACCTTTTTTACGCTTTCTGTATGTACTTTATAAAGCAGCTATGAGAAAGTGAGCTAAGTGTTTGCTATTTGCTTTTTCACTGAAAAAATATTAAAAAGTCTCTCTCCTTGTTGTAAATATGTTGTGGTAAACTCCATATTTTCTCTGCTGACTTTTCTTTGATATTAAAGAACGCTTTATATGCAGCACCAGCATTCTGAAAACAGATCGATCGCAAACTCCAGCACTCGGCTTATGTTATAAAATACTTCAGAGTCGATTGCGTAAAATTGCTCAATTATTTATATTTAAGCATATAACAAAATTTACAGCGGGTATTAACTGTAATTACAGTTAGAATATAACAAACAAAGCTCACAGCCGATAAATCTGCACACGTGCATACCTCGATGTAAATTTTCCTGCATAAATGAGTGTGTGTGTCTGTATGTGCATGCAGGTGGTTTGATATCCGCYACCTCTTCTTAGCGATTGTACATAAATAAATTCGAAAGCATAATGAACATTTTTGCATAAATACATGCACGAGGCACACATACATTCATATAAGCAYACCGATATAGTCACCACAATTRTGGTGTGTGTTCATCGGCCATTATGCTGGTGGTAATAAAATTTGAAGCTTTTTTAAACGTTGCCTTTAAATATGCCTGCGTGTGTGAGAATGTGTGCATGTGTGGAATCTCAGGTATTTTATGGCTGTCTGTTGCTGGAATTGCTCCGATTATTTTTATACAACTTAACTCACTCATAACGCAGGCACGTRTATGTGTGGGTGTGCATTTTTGTTAACAAATATATGGTGTTGGTGTTGGTGTTGGTATGTTTGCCACTTTAGTGCACTGCATCAATTTGGTAATCATAAAATTTTCGTTTACTCAGCAAAAATGTGTGTCGATGGAAAATACCAGCCGGAAAATGTTTTTATTACAACACATTAGCGCCAAACGCAATTTACGATGTTTGTGCGGCATGGGGGGGATGCTGATCGTAAGAACAACCATAAAAGAATGCGAATAACGGTAGTGTGCAGGTGTGCAAAATAAAAAACAATTGACGGCAGGGATCAGTGTCGAAATTTATTGTGGTACTCTTGKTGCGCAGCGGTATGTGGGGGGAGAGGAATACAATTTGTAGTATGAGTTGCACAATCAGCTCAATTGAGACATAAATCGCAAAATTGTTTTTTAATGATAATTTTCTGCTAGTTTATCCACCAAAACGTGCATTTTGTTTTTAAAGCTAGGGTGGAAAGTGCCTATGTGCTCATGAAGTGGACTTCGAATTGCGGCAGATTATCGGAGATGACATCCCGGAAATATTAGCTGTGATTAATTTAGACCTCAATATCATATTCAATGGCTAGCGGTTTAGCGACAWAGAAGACGTAATCGACGAGGCTTTTTCACTAGCTAGTGCGGATGGGTTAATATTGCAGGTGGAAATCACTCCACTCAAAAACATTACCTAATTTCTGTCAAAATTTTCTTCGAACTTGAAATTCACCTACAAGCGGAAATTACTACCATGAATATTTGCATCTGACATTAGTGACTCATTAGAACATTGCGACTTGCACTTTGGTTCTCGTACTGGTGTGTTTCATCACTCGATTTATGACACAAAAGATGGAAAGAAGGAAAATATCAAAATTTTYCAAAGCCGAACATTTCAAGGCAACCAACATTTGATGACAAAATCATGACAGATGCTTAAACTATTGTTCCGTACGAAGGCCACCATCAAGCCAAACCCGTTAAATAAACTGCTTTTGCCATTGCTGYACATCAGAAAATCCATTCCTGATTACTCGCAATGAAAGCACATGCAACAACAGYGAAGACGCTGACTCTTTGTTGTTCCTGCACATCAAAAAAGTCATTTACGCGCGTATCTTCTCTTCTTCTACTTTCCTCATATATCGATTTAATAGCGTGCGCTGCTTGCTGCAAATTGCTTTGCGCCACATGAATTTCTTCAATACTTTCTTCACGCGTTACGCAATGATTTTTTTACCTTTGGCWTTTACGCATTTGTGTCAAGTATAAGTTTTATGAAGGACATGCATGAAATCTGGCGTGACCTAGCATATTTTCAGTCATTTTGAGAAGTTAACCAGTTGTAAGAAACCAAAAAGTTTTCATGAAACAAATTTAAAACAGTTCATTTACTTTGTGTTAAATCTTCAKTTTTTGAAATAATATCTTTTCGCAAGTTGAACTGSGCTTCGAATTGCTTCCATATCCATCGTATTCTGCAGATCTGAACCCCAGCGACCGCAGATCTTACAAGAATATCCGCTGGGTACAAATTTTCGTCAAAAGAAAGGGTATTGCCTAAACTGAGGCCAATTTGAAGCAAAGGAAAACTCGAGTAACAAAAATGGTATACAAAGTTTTGAGAATCGCCATAATCAGTATATCAGCCTTGAACGGAACTACATATTTGCAATAAAATATGCAAATTTAGCAAAAAAAAAAATATATATATATACTCATATTTAATTATGTTAGACAGGGAACTTGTCGATAGACACTTCAGTGTACAAATTGGAGTGTATTGCCATACCAATTATCGAACACTAGTAATACAGCATATATCTGTGGAAAATAGTAARGAGGTGCTTTATTTGCTTGCCAGCTAATTATTTCGTAAACTTATTTCCGCAAATTTTTAATATTTATGTACATAAACGAAATTTTACATTTTGGCTCGATAAATCTATGCACACCAAGGTTCTGTTTTATTCGCCATATATTATCTTTTACTTTATTACCCAGCTATAATGAAGGGAAAATTTTTTATGAAAGCATTCGATGAAACTTAACTCGGCATGAGAAGTAGTGCAAAGGAAAAATTTAAAAAAAAAAAAAAAACATACTGCCGATTGTAAATGTGTTGCAATTTGGGTCTCCCTACTTCCTGTAAAAACTGTTCAAAATAACTCTACTTTTCCGAAATAACTGTTCTTTATTTAAGTAAGCACTRACATGTTGAACAATCTCTAATTTGCACTCACCTATCTGCCTTCTTAACGCCCGACCACATGGCCGCCGAAACAGGTGGCATGAAACGCAAATTGCCCACAGGTGGCGAGGCATATGGTATGCCGCGATACGCTTCCACCGGATCCAAGTGCCKACCTTCAAGTTGTACAATAACACCGGATATGGCGCCGTTGCGTGTGTGTATAATGCGCGAGGATAATTGCGCTGGCAGTTGATCTCCATGTGTATGACTATTGACGTTGTTGTTGGTTATGCCGCCACCAACATTTTGCCGACCACTACGTCCGCTATTACTTACGCCAGCTCCACCAGCGCCACCACTACTGCTACCGGCACCGCCCGCCAGTGAAGCGGATTGTAGCATTGAGCCAGCGCCAGAGGTAGCAGATGCGGCGCTGCTGCTTGTCAGCGAGAGTGATGGACCCAAAAATATATTATTGGCAGTCAGTGAGGCAGTTGTTATCGGTGAGGAGACTAGCGACATTTGCAAGCTATTGTCTTCGGACGCTAATGCGGCGGCCGACTGCAGGCGATTGTTGTTGTCCGTTAATGAGGCGGAGACAAGCGCACGAAACACCGCTGAGGAGCTGCTACTACTGCCCCCATAAACAGTGACATCACGTCCGCTGCGGCTGTAATTTCGTGTGTTGGCATTTTGATTGTTCGCACCATGCGTTGCTGTTGCCGCTGTGGCGAATGAGCCACTGTTGCCGCCGCCGCCGCCGACACATGCCAAGAGTAGGAAGAATATGGAAAGTACGGTGGTGTTTGTTTCCAGCAAGTACAAATAACGCGGTAACATTATCATAATGGCGCTATGTAGCACCCCTCTAAATTTATGACTCTGGCTGCAGCTAAAGTTGCTGCTGCTGTTGGCGTTGTTGCAGCCTCAATCCGCTCGCTGGATGCTTGTTGGTTGCTCGGTGCTAACTAAAATGATTGTTATTGCTATTTATGCACCTAACGGTTTGCGTATAATGGCGTTCTCTGTTTATAATGACGGTGAAATTATGCCATGCACTTGCTGCTGTCGCGGCTTCCCGTTGTCCTTATTTCAACCGCCATTTCGCAACAAATTCATACAACTTTATATTACCAGCAGTTTTAAGAATTTTAAGTGTTTATTAGGTAAATTGCTTTTCTTGTGTTAATTGCAAAAGTTGCCGCATTTAGTTGTACATAAATTGCCTTAATTTTCCGTAGACTTCGATCTAATTTTCATGCTAATTAGTGACTTCAATGTTCATTTTATGTACTATTTTCAATCTCCTTCTTCACTCTAAGATTACTTGACACTTTCTCCATATTTTACTGACGAACTTCTTCTTTATACTTCCTTACACAACATCATTCATTCATCTCTTGGCGTTTATAATTTTATACTCGCTACTCTCTCGCAATCTCTCTGAGATGATGTATTTGAGCTCAACTGATCCATTCGCACGAGCATTTGAGTTTTGTTATATTCGAAAATATATATCTGGAACCGAGTACACCTTTCAACATTTGTCCGTGAATCGGTCTTCACTGCGCAAATCTAGAAAAAAATAAATTTTTTGTAAAATTAATTAAAATAAATCAACTTTGGGTTTAATGCAGGTTTAAAAGCAATATAAGCATCTCAAGCAGATAATATACATATAATAATGCGTTCTTAACAATTGGATTGAATTAAAATTAGTTAAGAGATGACAATCTTATTTACGGAATTTTAAACTGTCGAATTTCTTTAAAACATTTCTTTCGCTGTTACTGTGATACTAATAGTTTATCATTTAGCTTTGAGCTAAAGTTAGACAAAAAACAGTTTGGGTTTAGTAGAAGCCCATTTAAGTGCTACCCAGTTGCTGTCACCTTGTTTGGATACTGTTTATATGAAAAGATTTCAATCACTTGTCCCCTTATAAGTTCAAGGAGTGACTTGTTATCGCATTTTGCTGGAAACATTCAGTAAACTCGAATAATTGCAGGAGATTTAAAAAAAATAAATAACAAATAAAGCAGAAACCTTTCTCTATATCGCAATATCTGCCAYAGAGATCATCCCTAATACCTGCCATTAGAAATATAATATATAATCCAATAAAGCCACAAAAAGCGAAAGTTAAGRGAACAGCTGACAATAACAAAGCTCAACGTAGATTTTTAATAAAAGAATCAAAATGTAATCGTATTAAACTAAARAWAAAAAAAACACTTCTGATCCATGTAAAAGGCAGCGTTTACTGTAGCCAAAATCTAGATAGCATATTAAACTTAAATGCAGCACAAATGCCACTTGCGACAACCTCAGCGTTCTTCTTCTTCCGCCCACTAACGCGTTCACAAGCTGCTCACACAGTGTAAAGTTGWCGCTGCAGGTGTTGCAACACCATAAAAAAAGGAGTAAAACGAGAATAACAGCCGCTTCAGTCAACTCACAYTCAAGTAGTTAAAATTGCAACAACAACACGAAGTGCATTTAACATAACAAAACGTTGTTAAATGCACTGAGGCGCATATGCAACACTTCATAAATACATGCATGTGTGCATTAAGCAAAAGCAAAAAATAGAWACAGAAAAATGTGGCCTGAAAATAAATGCTAACGTGTAGAGTAGCTATTTGTTACGTATACGCCGTGGGGTTGGCTTGCAAATAGGGARGTTAAGCCTGTGTCAGCTGTATGTAAATTGATTGGAACGAGTGCATAAATAATGCAGGGAAAAAGCAGGGAAGAAGCAGCAACTAGTGTGGAATACGTAACGTTCCTCCACAGAAAGGAAGCGTGAAAACAACAGAACAACAAAAGCAATAGCATAGCTGACAACTTCAGCAGCTTGACAATTGTCCTTAGGCTGGGATTTAAATATGAGCGTGAGCGCTAAGTAGCGTAACGTAACGCAGCTGAGCGTGAAACAAGTGCAATTGCAGTGCGGATCATTGCCAGCAATAACACAAAAACGAGCGCCAACTGTAGCCCAAGCCAAAATAACAGCATGCGCCTGCAGCCGACACATTCTTTTGAATCGTCACAGAGCATTGCTGCTTAAGGGCTGCAAAAATGTACGTAAGTATATTCATAGCTAAAGCACACATCTCGGTATTGCCAGGTTTTGAGTTTGATACAACTGCTCTTATTGGAAACAACCACTAAATCAATCTTCTATGGAATCACTATGGTTTGAGTGAGTCTAAAAAAATAATTAATATGATTTAAGTAAGGAGTGGCGTCTTTTACCTACCTACTAAGGAGGTTTCTATATTTCATCAAAAATATTTCTTTCATCARTGTAGATATTTGTTATCTTTATATATAAAAATCACGTGATACGTTGTTTGTCCGCGATGGACTGCTAAACTACTGAACCGATTTTAGTAAAATTTATCACACTGTATCCAGATCGCGCCAACTTAGAAGATAGGATGGTGAAAAAAATTCATAAATAAAAAATACAGTGAAAGCTCTGTTAAGTGGACAACTCTATTAACTGCACGGAAAGACTGGTAAGCAGACATTGACAAGCAGCCTTAAATTCGTTATTTTTTCTAATATAATTTATTTGTGTGAACATATTCAAAATTAAATCTCAACTACAATTATTTGGATGCCTATACCGACAAAAATGGTTTCGCCTATATTCGTAAATAAATTTTCACTGTATTGAATAGCTTATGACATGAATAATAGTACAAAATGTATACCACAGCAGCGCGTGTCTGGATCCACTGGTAAGTCCTATAAATTACAAGAGTCTAAAAAGGCTCAGAGTTAAGTTTTAGTTATGTTTAGATGTTGTAACCAATCTTAATAAAAGTTAATTTTTATATTCCTCCACGGTACCTGCTGCCGGGGTGTTTGGATAGATGTTGACACCCAGATTTTTTTTAACGTAATCCCAGAAAATTTATAGTACTTGGAAGATAACCTGAAATGGCAGATGGAGGATACCATAAAGCTTAGCTTCTCACGTTTGAAAATTACTAAATTTCGAATGAAATGTGAAAATCTTAATTTATATCATAATATTTCCTGTCTTTTCAATAATCTGTACCGCATATGATTATAGAGACACGGTTACGTATCACGTATTGGCAGTCGGTATAGCTTCTAAAAGCCGTTTATTTTGTTTTATTTTTCTACTTATCCTTTGAGACTTACTTCTTTCGTAATACAGGCTAACATCAAAGATCACTTCGTCGTGCCAAATACGACCACAAAAAATGATCCTAGAAAGTTCAAATGACAAAACTTATACGGGCTTTTAGCATGCTAATGTCAGATAAATAAACCAGATACAAAATTATTTCAGTGGCTTTAAAACTTTTTGTTCTCATTGCATTCAAACAACACTAAAACTTTTGCCTGTAGTTATCGCCATTATCAGGGTCCTTGTTTCCGCTTCCCATACTAAAAAGGTGTGGACCAATTTTTGTTTAGAATTTTGAGTTTCTCTGAAATGCCTTTCTATCTGAAAGTCGTCATTTACTTTCCACTTGAAGATATTCGCTTAGTCTAAAGTACGAACGTTGAAATATATGAAAATAAGTTTTTACTACTCAGTACAACAATGTTTACTTTAGATTAGCATTACAAAATCCAATTACGCCATATTGCCCTGCCAGCAGCACAACAATTCAATGCTGGGTTTATACAAGCACTGCCTGCACGTGCGACTGCGTTAGTGGATAAAACCTGTAAGTGTCGTGCAGAAATACAACTACAATTGTAATACCGTGAATTGTATAATCACTTACACTTGCGCACAACGTGCCTGCGACATACTTCGACATACTTCACTTATGATGCACCTGCGCGAGCATTAAGCGTCTGACTGTTGAATGAATGCCACAGATGCGCAACTATGAGGCGGCCACGCTATGAGCCAGCAAATGCATTCGTATGAAAGCCTTTTACCACCATTTACATACTCACACATATACATTTGTACAGGTATACCTGAGTGCGTAGTGAGCCAGTTAATCCAATGGAGTGTGTGCAACATGCAACAAACAAGGACAAGGCCGTTGTCGTTGTCGTTGGCATTGTAGTTGGTGTTGGCGTTGCCAACTGCATTTCATTTAATATCAGACAAAAGCAAAACCATTAGCAAGACAACAATATCCGTATAAACGCAAAAAGAATAACGACGGCAACAATGAAAATGGCATACAGTGTATGTGTGTATGTGTCTGGTGGTGGGTGGTGGGTGGGTCCCATTTGAAAACACATTTTCTCTCGTTTTTTGCAACGAGTACGGCTGGCACACGCTTCTTGATGTGTAAAAGCACTCTTCTGTATTTTCATTGCGGCATAAAAGTGGCATTTGAATTGCATTAACTTGCTTGAGTTGGAGCTTACGGAATTCTTACTTGAATGCGTGTAAAGAACGTGATGCGATAGCGCATTTAAGTTGCTGGAGAACAAAGTGAATCTTAAAGAGCTTCAATTTAAAGTTAATTAACTTAATGGTATTTTGAAGATGCTTGCAATATGGTTAATTTCATTTCAAACTCTGAATTTCTGAGAAAGCTGCTGTTTTTACACTGTGGAACATTTTTGGGATTATTGTCGGGGGGTGAGAAATTCCAAGTCAGGGTGATGGTACTAGGTCCGTATAGTAAAACCCTCAAAGTGTTTGGCGTACGTATGTGTCAGTTGTTTTATTAACTTTTAAATTTTTTCCTTATATTGATGTTATTTCGCTTAGTTGTAACATTTTGGCAAAAAAAAAGAAAAAAAAATAAAAATAAAAAAAATGCTACAACTGAGAATTATCATTGGGAAACTTGAACTTATATGGTTCTTAGAGATGAACACAAAACTACGGACGGATGCTTTTGCAATGATTTTGTGCTGTCTATTTCCTCACTGAATTATTTGGGTTGGCCTAATGTATATATTTCTTGATTTCGAAAGTGTTTCATATTTTAAAGTAGTTTTTCACGGTTTTATTGAAAAGTAATGTGTTTCATAATGCTTATTTTTTCATAATTTCTGATAACTGACCAAACCCTGAATCCATCTTAGATTATGCTAAACCTTTATGTGTGCTATACAGGATTTCCTGTTCCAAAAGTTTCTTTTTCTTCACCGTTTATTTTGGTAGATATTTTCTTAGATACGAAATTCATTTATCACTTTTAAATATTTCTCTACACCTTGGACAACAGTTTTTAATTTGTGCCAATAATAAATTCACTATGACTTATAGCATGTTATGCTACAAAATCGTTAGCGTCTTTCGAACTTGTGACTGTTATAACACTCCGTAAGAGCTGATTTCGATAAAAACCTCCGATTATCTCCAAATGATATTCCCTTCGGAAATCAGAAGGCTACTCTTAACAGGTTTCTCCTTTGTATACCGGTTATCCGCGCTAAAGCGCACAAAAAAGAATGTTTTCCATCTTGATCGATTGATGTGTATTTCAGAAAAAAAAAAAAACTTTCCCAATTTGTAACAAGCTTTTCCGGGTCAGCCTTTGCAAAAAAAAAAAAATAATAATAATAAGAGTATCATTGAGTACCGGTCGCATAGCTCTGATATCTAGCTT